ATGGTGGCGCAGTGCCTCACAGCAACAAGGGCCTGGGTTCAATTCCTGGCCGGGTGACCAGGCTATGTCTGTCTTTCCATTCCAGCCACCGGACTCCATTTCCCAGAACGCCCCACCTGACTCACATGACTCTCCACCGATCCGCTTCACCTGACTACTGATTCACCTCACCTGTTCTGTACATCACCTGACTAGATTTAGCGTAGTACATAAGCTCGGGCTTTAGTATAGGGTCTTTGTGAAGTACTGCCTTTGTTTACAGAGCCTTACCAGCCCTTCCAGTTCGCCAGTTTGCTTTTCTGTGTATGACCATTGCTTGTTTGTTTTTGACCTTGTCTTTTGCCTAGCCCTCTTAGTATTGTTGTGATTTCTGGTTTGACCTTGTTTTCTGGATTTAGGACTCTGTTTTTTGGACTTTCTTCATGGTTACTGTTTTCCTGATCTGGCTTTTGACTTTGGACTGGTTGACACTGATTTTGGATGCTCCTTTTGTTAATAAACCTATTTTACTTCAGTTTGTTCTGCAAGCGTCCAAATTCTGTCCAAACTTTACAACTTGAAACAAGGGAAATTATGTACATACAGTTGTGGGACTGAGCCGCATCCTCCCCTTACCACTATGATGTTGCAATAATGTGTTGTCTGCTGTTTTATCTTATGTTGTGCCCAGTAATGTCTTTCATTGAAATGAGTGGTTTTGTTGTTCATGAATGGGTTTGCATGGGTTTTTAAATAGGAAACGTTCAGTGCCTGCATTTCTGCAATCATCAGCATCTGGTTTACTCTGTTGATACAGCTGATGGCAGACGTTTTCTGTCACCGTGCCATTGAAAACAATGGAATATAGGGTTTGCTGTCACTCTATACCAACAACATGTAAAATCTGCATTAAGAATCAATTTGAATTGAACAGAATCACTGTGAGATCCTCAAACAGAGAGCATTTGGCTCGTCTGTAGATTTTTCTCTCAGTCTCTGACTGTGACTGTGTCTGGGCACTTACGTGTTGGCAGACTGGTGTGTGTGTGTGTGTGTGTGTGTGTGTGCGTGTGTGTGTGTGCGTGTGTGTGTGTGTGTGTGCGCAGGTTTGTTCACAGCGTTATTGATGGTGCAGAAATAGAATACTTTGATACTCTCCTAACAAACATGTCAGAAATGGAGAAAGAGAGGAAGAAACAGGACAGAGAGAGAGGAAGAGAGAGTGAAAATGAGAGAGACAGACAGAGGTACAAAGACAGAACAAATGAAAAAGAGAGAGTAACAGAGGGAAAAAAGACAGTGAGAGAGAGAATTAAAGACTCAGAGAGAGAGAGAAACAGAGAGATAAAGACAGAGAGAGATAAGGATAGAGAGAGAGAGAGAGTGTGTGAGAGATGAAGACAGAGAAGGAGTAAGAGGGAGGTAAAGGCAGTGAGAGAGAGTAAGAAAGAGTGAGATAGAAAGACACAGAGAGATAGATAAAGGGAGAGAGAGTAAGAGTGAGAAAGTGAGAGAGAGAGCGAGAGAGAGAGTCTCCTGCTGGAGGAAATCGCAGAGTGTCAGACAGACCTGTGGAGATCCCAGGGGAGCTGTTCAATAAACACGTTTGTGTGTACTGAGAGACAGACGCAATGAGAGAGAGAGAGACAGAGAGAGAGAGAGAGAGAGAGAGAGAGAGAGAGAGAGAGTATAGATAGCAGAGAGAGGGAGAGAGAGAAGAAAAAGTTAATAAACTCCTCAAAAGCTGATCAGTCACTTCCTCCTCCACCTGCACTGCGCTCCTCATCTTATTAAGGGTCAGCCCAAAGCTGTCTATGATCTGTGTGAATGTGCTTGTGGGAGTGGACAGTTTTCAATTTTGATAAAATCGATTCTGATCAATTACAACAGTATTCGATATATATAGTATGCATGCACTTTTTAGGAAAATTCTCAAACTGCACAAAAAAAACAAACAGACAATAAAAACACAGTGTATTGATTTTTATGATTTATATATATATATCCTCTAGACTCATTTGTACATTCAGTGTACCGAAATAATGGAATCAAATTGTGGTGAAATGTGAGATTTCGTGATGCTTTAAGAATGTGAGTGTGGTAGCTTGTGTTCTCCTGCTTTCTAGTGTCTTGTGTCTGCAGACAAAACTGGTGACGTCATGTAGGTTGTCTTATCCACACTGGTATGTGGTTTGCCATAACATCAAGGGTGTGGGTGTGTGTGTGGGTGTGTGTGCTATAGTGTAAATGTCAGTGACGTACAGCACGTTACTTATTGATGTCTATACAGATACTGAATTATACAGTAAAAATTGCTCATTAACATGACAATTCCTAGATTCTTAGCAACTAGCTTGACATGGAAACATCAGTAACTAATCAGCAGTCAGACGTATTCACCCACTACCTTTTTCTGATGTTAAAATGTCATAGTCTTCAATGAATTACAATTATTAATTAACAGTTTTAACTATGTTGTAACCCATAAACCCATAGAAGTGTAGCTTTAGGTGCCCTGAATAATAAGTTAGCACATCTTAATATGGTTTTAGTTTAATACATATATATACGTGTGTGTGTGTGTGTGTGTGTGTGTGTGTGTGTGTGTATATACATATACATATATATATATTTTTTTATACATAGTTGCTGTCAGAACAAAACCTATGAAAAAAAAAAGTATCTACTATAATAGTGGCAGGTTGGCCAGCTCAAGATGTAGCAAAGCATCTGCATACCACTTACCCAACACTGTCCTTGACCTTTGATATGAGCTTCTTACTATTGAATACATTGTTTTTTTTTACATAGACATAACAGAGACTGTGCTGCCGTAAATCTACTTTTGACTAATTTGTCAACAGAATACAGTAGAACAGTAGTTCCCAGACTGTTCCACAGGGTCTCCCAGATAGTTTCCCCCATCCTGATGTTGACCACGTGGGAGGCCCTGAAGATCAGATTGGGAGCTACTGCAATAGAGCATTCAAAGATTGTTATCTTAGCATGCAGTCTTAATTGGCCCAAATGTATGATTATAGGGAATAAAACTTTAATTGGAATAAAACTGGTACTTTATCAAGGTTTTTGTGTTGTAAAATGGCTAGAACAGAAGTTAGATAGGAAGGAGGAGGAGCTTAAGGCATGGATCTCCTCACACACTTTCAAAACTCAGTATTTTGTGGGCAAAAGGATGCTGGAAGTTGCTTTGTTTAATCACCTGATTCACCAAGTGATTTGTAAATTGTGACACTATAGTGAATATACTATGTCATTTATACAAACCCAATGCCAAAATAGTTGAGACAGTTAAATGCTAATAAAAACAGAAGGCAATGATTAGTTAATTCTTACATTGAAAACAGTACAAAAACACAACATTTAATGATGATGTGACCTATGAACCCTGCTGTCATAAATACATGCTCATTCCAAGTATGATGCCTGCAACATGTTCCAAAAAAGTTGGCACAGGAGCAGGTTCACCACTCTGTTACATCACCTTTCCTTTTAACAACACTTATTAATCGTTTAGGGACTGAAGACACCACACTTCATAATGTGCCACATGCTTTCAATAGGAGACAGGCAGGCCAGTTTAGCACCTTCACTCTGATTACGCAGCCATGATGTTGCAATGCGCAGAATGTGGCTTGGCATTGTTGAAGTAAGACATCCAGAAGGCAGCATATGTTGTTCCAAAATGTGTTTAGCATTAATGATGTGTTTACAGATGCAATTTACCCAGTAATACCCCCCACCCCACCCCAATACCATGACAGACCATGGATTTTGAACTTTACACTGGTAACAATCTGGATGGTCCTTTACTTCTTTGGCCCAGAGAACACAATGTACATTATTTCCATAATCCATCTGAAATGTTGACTCATCAGACCACAATACACGTTTCCACTATGGTGTCAGTTCATTTCAGATGAGCTCAAGCCCAGAGAAGTCAGCAGTGTTTCTGGATGTTGTTGATGTGACTTTCACTGTGCATAATACAGTCTTAATTTGCATTTGTGGATGCAGTGACAGACGGTGTTTGGCATCACAAAAGCATGTTGGTTGTTAATGCGGGGGCATCTGAGAGCCCAAGGGTCACAGGCCTTGACTTGTGGTTTTTGGCGTTTTGCTGTACACACAGAGCTGTCTCCAGATTCCCTGGATCTTTTGATGATTTTATGTTATTATGCACTGTAAGGGTAAATTTATCAAAAATCCTTGTGCTCACTCGCTGAGGAATGTTATTGTTAAACTGATTTTTTGCTGATGCATGTTTTGGCAAAGTAGTGAGCCTCGACCCATCCTTGCTCATAAAGCACTAGGTCTTTCCTAGATGCTACTTTTATATCCAAACATGACTGCATCACCTGTTTGAGTCTGATATACTGAGCTGTATTTGCCCCTAACAGCATTAAAACATGCTGATAGGCCTTGTGATACTGCCTTTGGTCACAGCTTCTGTTTATATGTTTGTGGTACACATATATCATGAAGATTACTAGCTTGTTGATATTAACACTTCATTTGGTTCCTCTGCTCTTCAACTAAATGAATACTATGTTGTGTTACACACTCTCTGCAATATGTAATACCATGTAAGAGTCACTGCTGTGCTGCCCAAATCAGATCTAGTCAGAAACTGATCAGTGGTGAATGGGGGTTACTGTAACTGTACACAAATATAGTGAAGCTATAAGGTTGGTGTTTCTAATAAACTGACCAGTGAGCAATAGTGAAAGATGGATGAAGAGGACGAGGAGTATGATGGATTTTTGTTTTTTTTTTACTATGTATTAAACTCAGCAAACAATTAAAATTATGCACTAATTTGATATTTAAATGTGTTATCTATAGAAAATGTGTTAACCTGTTTTCACTCAGAAAAAGAAACAAAAGTCATTTGACCAGGGCTGTTCAAACGTTTGCATGGGACTGTGTTTCTAGATGTTTTCACTTGTCATTTTATTCTTAAGGTAACCTTTCTTTTTCTCTTTTTTTCTTTCTCTTTACAGAGTGTTGATCTCCCTTCTTGCTGGAGAAGAACCAAAAGCTGGTCCATGCTCCACTGATCTGTGTGTGTATGCGTGTAAGTGTGTGTATGTATGCGTGTAAGTGTGTGTGTGGGTGTGTGTGTGTGTGTGTGTGTGTGTGTGTACAGGTGTGGAGGCTTACTCCATGTGACACACCGTAAGATTTTCATCGCAATCGGTTACAATCGATACAGAATTTGCCAAAAGACTAGTGGTCATATCTCCCCGTGAACACTGAGATGAACAGTCCTTCAGCCAATCAGGAGGGACTACAGCGACTCTGACTGCCAACCAAGAGCCAATGATATTCCTTTTTTCTTCTTTCCTTCATTATGAAATTGAAAAAAAATTGTAATACAGATGTTACATAGTCTAACGATAGATGAGATACATATATAGTATACATAATATTGCTGAGAGAAGTATATATGACTTTTTAAAAAGTGCCTCATTTTTGATTGTAGCCATTTTTACACAGGTCCTGATGCGCTCTGTGCGAGGAAAAAAAAAGCTTTCTGTTCGCCGTCTCGCTTTGTCCGTCACTTTGTGTTCCTGAGAAAGAGAGTGGAAAAGAAAGAGTGAAGAGAGACAGAGAGAGAGAGAGAGAGAGACAGAGAGAGAGAGAGAGAGAGAGAGAGAGAGTGTAGAAATGTAAGTTCAGAGCGAATAGTGTATTAGTTTGTATAATCTGATTGCCTTATTGTGTTTGATGAGGTGTACAGCACTGTAGAAAGGTCAAAGACCACGCTTCATTTCTTTCATTTCCAGTCAAAATGGCCATTTAGCACAAGTGATTCATTTTTCAGCATCAGGTAAAAAAGCAGGAAAAATATGTTTAACAGAAAATTACACAGAAGCCTCAACAACTAAATATAATATCGGATACTTCAGTATTTAGTGTGTCCACTCTTTGCTTATATTACAGCTTCCATTCTTTTCAGGAGTCTTGTTTTCAGTTTTTTCAAAGAAATCCACAGGGATTATTTTTCCACACCTCCAAAGTTCAGTCTTAGAAGTTGGTTGCACTTTCTGGGGTCTGAACTCTGGGGTTTGAATGCTTCTTGACAGCTACACATCCTTTCAGACTCATAGTGTTGAGTTGTCTTCTCACTGTGGAAGGATGGACAGAAAAGCCTGTGGATTTTTTCAGATTTGAATCAAGAGTGGAGCGTGATTTTCTCCTCTTTCTCAAAGATGAAAGCTTTAAGTGCTGTTTATCTGAAGGGGACAGTTTTGGCCGAGTTGTTAGGAATCACATTTTTTTTCTTTATATTTTAATACTTCTTTGAACTTCAGTTCAAAAAATCAAATTTTTTTTTTTTTTACATATTTTCCTTTGACTTCTTTATGCAAGTGAATTATCTTCTAATCTTAAATATCACCTGAAAAATGAACAATTTATACTTAGTGGCTGTTTTGACTGGAAATTTAAAAATGTAAAGGGTGTCTCTGCCTTTTGCACAGTATTGTGTGTGTGTGTGTGTGTGTGTGTGTGTGCGTGTGTGTGTGAGTGAGTGTGTGTGTGCGTGTGTGTGTGTGTGTGCGTGTTTGTGTGTGCGTGTGTGTGTGTGTGTGTGTGTGTTTGATGAGCATCATCTAAGCCTCAGCCATGCTGTGCCTCTATACTCAAACTCAATAACCTTAAATCATACACGAACAGACACTGACAGACACACACATGCATACATACATATGCACATACACAAAACAACCATACAGCAAGACCTCAAACTGTCTGCCTATATTGCAGTACTCTAACTCATAAGCACTTGGAGAACAGTACCATTATCCTCAATAGCATGGCGGCATCAGCTGACCGGCTGCACTAAGATGTCCTGAGAGTCTGAATAAGAGATTACTTTGTGTGTGTGTGTATGCATGTGTGAGTGTGTGAGTCTCCACTTATACACGGGCAGTCAAAAAAAATTGCTCAGATAGGGCTGCGCAATATGAACAAAACACTAATATTGCAGTTATATTGCTAAATATTGCAATTCCGAAATACACATTGCAATGTATATTAAAATACATTGGAGTCAACAATGAGACCTGGTTAAAGACTGAATGCATTAGGGCTGCATGATAGGGACAAAATATTACTATTGCAAGTATGTTTCTATATATTGTGATACAAATTGCAATACATTAAAAATGAATTGAATCCTGGTTGAAATTCAGCATGCGCTGTTTTAACCCAAATCATTTACTTATATTGGATTTTGTTGGAATGCACATTTGGAACTGTGATTAGTCAGGATCCTCACAACAGGCACACTTTTTGAAATCAATAAACTAGAAATTTATTGAAATCTAGATGCACGTTGCACTTAATAGCCAGTGACTGGCAGGTTTTTCTTTCAGCCAAGCAGTAGTATATGTGAGCCAGCTGATGACCTATCCATCGTCTGCAAATGTGTCCTTTCATAGCAACAACTGCTATGTCGGACAAGCTTTCCAGGACATTAGCAAAAAACACATTCTACCAATTGAGAAATTGTAGCATTATTTATTGTCGAAATAATAAGAATTAATTCATTTATATAGTACCTTTCTTAGGGTAAAGGACCCTTCACAACTACAACCAACCTACATTCCCCACAGCCAAGTCAAATGCTGCTGACAAGGGGCAAAGTCTCTCAGCCTGTGGCCTAGTCAAACTCCAGCAATGCGGTGTAAAGACCCTTGGCCTGTGGCCCAGTCAAACTCCGGCAATGCAGTGTGAAGACCCTTGGCCAGTGGCCCAGTCAAACTCTGCAGGTGCGGTACGAGATCACTTGATCTGCGGCCAAGTCAAACTCCACTGTCATGGTACGAAGTATCTCAGCCCATGGCCCAGTCAAGCTTTGGCAATGTGGAGTGAAGGACCTTAGCCCATGGCCCAGTCAAACTCCACCGTCATGGTACAAAGTATCTCAGCCCATGGCCCAGTCAAACTCCACTGTCATGGTACAAAGTATCTCAGACCATGGCCCTGTCAAGCTTTGGTAGTGTGGAGCGTCAAGTGAAGACTCTCGACCTGTGGCCCAGTCAGGCTTCGGCAATGTGGTGTGAAGACCCTCGGCCTGTGTCCCAGTCAAACTCTGGTGATGCGGTAGGAAGTGTCTTAGTTCGTGGCCCATTCAAACTGTGCTGACACAATACAAAGTCTCTTGACTCGTGGCCCAGTTAAATTCTACTGTCGCAGTAAGATGTTTAGGCCTGTGGCTCAGTCAAACTCTGGCGACTTAGTCAAAAACAAAGTCTCTTGGCTGGCGACCTAGTCAAACTCATTGCGCTCTCGGCCTGTTTCTCATTGAGATTCTCTCACGGCTATCTATAAATCTTGTCCAACCTGTCCAACCAACAATTACAGTTACTACAAGAAAACACATTTGTGGGCGGAGCATAGATGGGCCAATTTTTCGAAAGGAAACCTGTAGCTTTACCTGCCATTGATTTGACAAACCTAATACATTCGCTCAACCATGCTTAATTGTCTACTTTCTATGTCTTTCTTCTTTATGGTGCACATCAGAGTTATTATTTTTGACTGCCTGTGTATTAGCTCAAAGTTTTTATTAGCCAGGGTAACTACAATGTATTAATACGCAACATAGAGTAATATTCTACGCTTTTACTCTATATATTTCACACATACACACACACACTCGCACGTCTTTCAGTGTTCAGATAAACACATTACACACAGGCGTGCAGTTCTCAACTGACAGTGACACGTTCAAGTGCCTCCTCTACTCAGCTGCAGTTCAAATCACACCAGTCTGACCAATACTGACAATTACACACTCACACCCACACTCAGCCGGACTCTGGTCCTGCACATCCACTGAAAAAACAGCATCAATTCTATATGAATAAAATATAGGACAGTTGTAACTGAGCTAAAGGCAAGCATTGTATTTACATATATATTATTCATGTGAAACTGATGTACACTTTTAGAATTAAATCAGATTCAAGGCATACATTTTTTCAGAACATCAAATATCCTGATATTCTGAATAAGATATTTTATACATGCACAAAAATACACTAGCTTTACAATGGTCTTACACACCCACCCCCCATACACACACACACACAGCTGGGCCACAGATGCTAAACAGTGAGGGATTAAAGTTAAATCTGTTTCAGTCCCACTGACTGATGGCTTTATGTCCTGTCTCTGGACTTTAGAGCTCTCTATACATGCCCACACCAATATTCCGCTTTGTTTGTACACGCTGGGCCTCTTTTAACGTGCATGTTTCCTTCTTCCTGCTACTCTTGTTGTTTTCGAATGCTAATTTTTACGCTAAGCCTGAGGGCGTCCGAAGGAGTGCTTTAAAACGTTGAGCTCACATTGGAACAGGGTCTTTTTGTGAAGTTGAGACAGCGGTGCCTCTCTGAAACTCCTCTAGCTCCACTTTCCCCACCCTGCTGACGTTTTGTAGCATGGCCGTACGTTTTTCCTAACGGATATTTTTCGTAGATTTTAGCTTTTTTAACTGCTTCTTTCGACTCAATGGTTTTTGACTGCCTTTGCACTTTTCTAACAGATGTTGTATTTCAGTTCTCCCATGTTATGAGTTGCGAAGAACAAGTTGCGCCAATCTCAGTGCCAATACTTTTTTATGTATTTACTCACTGATCAACACTAATTTGTGCATACTGGATTCAAAGAGCCAAACATTAATGCTTTCTAAGATCAGTCATTTTTCAAAAACATTTTTTTATCTGTAAGTGGTCAAATGCTCATGTCCACCAACTACCAACTATCAGAGGCCATGAAGGATATTAGCAGCTATAAACACTTAAAGGGGATTTGGACTTATTTCGCAAAATTTCTGCATAATTAAAACGTTGAGATGTAAACAAAGTCATCCAGAGTGGTTAATGTTAACTGGTTAATGTAGAGAAACTCACTGACTTGGATTTCTTTACAGTGGTCCTGATGGGAACCGGGTATCACGATGTCTACAACACAACTGTAGTCATTTTATTTACCATTTAAAATGACAGGTGAACCTACACATTCTGAATTTTTATATGTACAGTTGATAATGGTGCACCCTGCAAGTAGCTCTCTGCCATGACATCAGGCAGCATATTCATAGCCATTTAATGTAATAGTTTTCTGTGAGGGAGCTTTTAGAGGCATGTTTTACTCTTTTTAGACGTCTGGTTCCTATCACTACCACTGTAAACAATTCTGACACTTCAGGTTTATCTACAGTGGAGCACTTCACATCCAACCACTCTGAATGATTTTGTTTATACCTTGAATATTTAATTATACAGACATTTTGGAATTCCCCTTTAATACGAATGCCTTAGGACAAGCACATGGTCCTAGTTTATAGTGGTTACAAATCCTTAAGAAGACTCTGCACTCACAGCTTATTCATTTCATTTGGCATCTTGCATACCTTCTCTACTGATTGCGAACATCTTCTTCCTTCCACTATGGATTAAAAGAAGAGCCAGGTGGTCCTGCTTTGCATGGGATGGACTTAAAGAACCCCATTGCCTTTTTCTTCACGACAAAACTAAGCCCTCTTATACCCATCAGGGGGGCTGGCCACCAAAACATCTCAAACTTAAATCAGCGTGCGTGTGAGGTGTGAGTGACTCGGTCTGTCTCTCTGGTCCTCAGTGTGTGTGCTCTTTGCTTTTGCGATGTGTGTGTGTGTGTGTGCGCGTGTGTGTGTGTGTGAGGTTGTGGCCACTGTCCGATTACTTTAATCTCTCTTTTATTGCCTTATTGTCTGTATTAGCTCTCACGTAATACACGGCAGCTGTAAAAAACGACGCTTTGCATTCTAGAACAGTCGGAATTCTGTTAGAGTCCTTAT